TGTACATCAATAATTTGTGGTAAACTGTTGGCCGAAAATTCATATCATATGAAGTCGTTTATCATGTTCAAGAACCTAAAATCAGGCCTCAAGTTTAGGACGACAAAATGCCTTGTCCCTGGCTCGGGTTAGGGATGAGAACATGAAATGGGAATATTCAACCTCCGATGGAATGGAAGGACCACTTTATCCTGCCTCGTTAACATACCTACTCATATTCGAGCCTACTTCAAAAATGTTTTAAATTCTCAAATAGCAATAATATTTGAACGCAAAACTTTTTATGTGCGCAATATCAGGTTGAATGGCTAATCCACACATTATTGGATCAAAAGTCGAAATCAACAATTGCAATTGTTAAATTGACTCAAAGGAGTTCTTATTTATAACAGTAAGAGTACTTCAAGGATCATTACAAAACATCGTGTATTTACAAACGACTTTATTTTTTCAAGACGACGTCCTTTCAAGATTCGAATGTTTTTTCTCGTGATAACCATATCACGTAAAACATCAGATTTGTCTTGTAAAGCTTCTGCGCGACTTCATATTGGACGGGGCATTATTGTTGTAGTAAGTAAACCACACGAGTAAACATTCTTTATTGAGAGTGATTTACAAAAGATGGAGCTTGACGGTTGGACCATGACAAGTTCCTCCAAAACCATCGATTCTTGCGCTTGTCATGGCGAGACATATTTTCCGTTTCTGATCTTAACATATCCCACATTATCTGCACATCCTCGTACCCACAAGTTTGAATGTCATCGCGAAGTTTCAGAAGCCCGTCACCTGATAACAACAGATGCATGAACAAAGCACTAGTTTTTTTCTCAATCAAGAATCTAAAAGAAAGCAATGTTCACAAGAATATAACAAAATAAAGTAAGATTCTATGCTTAAGAGCATTCATTATTCTACGACACTGTTGAAATTGCTGCTAAGACAATGGGGCCATCCAACAATAGGTCTAAATCGATCATCTTTGGATGCTGCTTTCGCCCCAAAAAAAAAAAAAAAAGATATGGATATATGTCATCTCTAGACATTATTTTTCATGGCTGACTCATCAAGGAATTAGATTCCTTCAACATGAGCAGTAGAACTTTATGTTATAGCTTTATTACAAGTTTTTTGACATAATATACAGAGGTACATAGAGTAAATTGTGAGATACACGTTCTTCATGGTGTACATAAAGAGAGCAGAAATCTACATGCATACTAAGTAGGTTATGACTCCAAAGTATTTCAGTACCAATCCAATATTCGAAGAAGACGAGTTCTTAAATTTAACCCTCCACCCCCAACACACACAAACACATGTATAACGAATAATCCAACTATATTGACCATAAAATGAAGAGCGTGTTTGGTACACAATATTGAATAAAACTTGACAGTTGACACTATATATTACCAAACAAGTCAAAGATGCATAGTATGTGGATTTCAAATTCAAATTATTTCACTATCAATCCAATATTCCAAGTCACACTGCAGAGCTTACCCTCCACCCACCTACCCCACACACAAAATAACAAATAATAGTCCAACAAACAAGGTATTGATTATGGTCCATTAAAGTAGCACAAAACTCAAAAGTGGGGCATTATTTTGGTAGTTAGCAGTTTGATTTATTACTAACTTGGGTCTTAACACACTTTAATGTCATTGAGTGGAAGTAATCTAGTGGATATAAGCACCCATTAGTGGATATGTTCACTAAATAGTATGAAAAGAATTTAAAAATATTCGAATCCCATCATTACTAAAGATTAGGAAAAATCAAAATATGAAATTGTGTTCATAATAAGAGCATATCCTATCCAAAAGTTCTGAATACCAATAATCAGATTACGATGCAAATGTAGAAAGCCATATGCTGATACACAATCAAGGCTGTGGATGTTGCCATCATTAGAATTTTTGCTCTTATATACAGAGTGCAATGCATATAATCCAATAGGCATGACGGAATCTCATCCAGTAAACAATCATCCAAATCAACTCTCAATTTATAATTACCTACACGCCGTCTAATATTTTAGGCGACATGATAAAGGGGACCCACTTAAGTTGATTAAACACTCGATACATCTATCAAAGGCTACCAACCACCTCACGACCAAACAAAAATGTCAAGCTCGCAACCAATCATAGTCGTGGGGTCCACCCAGTGGCTCCTCTATATCGTGTTAGAACTCGATCTCACATCAATCTTTGGCCTTGGTCGACTAGTTATTTGACAGTTCAACACTATTCTGGTCCCAACCTATTATAAACTCTAGCAAGGGATGAGACACGGTTCAAAGGGATGTGAAATCCTGATACTTAGCTAAAACTCTATCCAATCAATTTCTCTAATAAAACACCAACTGCCTTAAAAATCATAGAGTATTCGGCTACTGGTCACATTTTCCCAACAGTCGAGCATTCTGACGTGTGTTCTTGAGTAGAGAGGGCAGCTTTCGGTTAAGTCGTCATGGAAGTCAAAACAAGAAAAAGACCCTTTATTCTGCACTGATGAAAAGAATGAGGAATCTTCTACATAAAGGTAGCTAAGTAGAGTGGTAGATTATATCAAGTTACTTTTTCTTTGAAAACAAGAAGGCCCCAATAAATTGCTTAACTATGTATTCCTTCATAACTTCACAGTAAAGTATGTCAGAAATTATCAAATTAATCCTCATACCGTTAAAGACAACTTATATCAATAATATTCTTTCCCTTCTCAATATATTAATCTTTTAGATGTGGTTCTGCAACATATCACCGTCACCGATTAATGAAAATTGTACGCATTTCATGTAAAAATGAATCTAGAATGTGAGGGGCGTAATGAAGATATAATTTAACTAAATATATTTGTCAGAAAGAAGCCCAAACTTTTCAAAAGAGATTTCAATAGTTACATGATCAAAAAATAATGAAAAACAGAACATGAATATGTTTTGCCACAAGTTAAAGAAAAAAGTTAAAAACTTCAACTTTTTTTTTTTTTTTTTTTAATTTAAAGAAACTTATCATATTTAATTTTCTACCTTTGCATCCCAATATTAATTATCTCCCCACATGTCATGTATCTACTCCTTAATATTCATCCGCCTCTGTTCAATTTAGCGTATAAAGTATGCCTACGTTGAATAAAAATATTTTTGTTTATTTAATTAAATCTTTGGCACAAAATTCCACATACAAGCTGAATTTATCTTTTTCATATTATAACACTTGTATTTATAAAGCTTAATCTCCACTCAGCCTCCTGAAAATTTCGGGCCGGACGGGAGTCGCCCCATTGCCATCCCTACATAAATATCCCCAACCCGTTACCATACACGCAGATATAGAGAGAAATGACTGACCGTTTTTGCGAGTCTTGACGCGTGCAGTAAAAGCACACCAAGCTCTTCTAACAGGGAAAACCATTTTCTGCCACCACTCCATCACCTTAATCTTCACTTTCCTCCGCCGATTCCCTCCGCCGAGTCGACTCAATGCCACCCTTAACCCGGCCAGCCCTCTCCCTTCTCTCTCTCTCACACACACACGCACGTACACGCACGCAGTAGTGTTGAGAGAGATTTGTGTGAGTTCCCGAGAGCCTTGTGAGAATTCTATTTGCTTTGTGTTAAAGTGCGTCACTTGAACGGTTATAATGCCACTTGGGAGTTGGGAGTGGCCTCTGTATTTTTAATTTTAGAGTTGGGTTAATTTCATAAATGGTCACTAATGTTCAAGTAAAATTTCAAATTGATCGTTAAAGTAATCTCTTGACCTAATTAGTCACTTATAAAACACAATATAACTCCTTTAGTGACATCCACTCCAAGCCCTCGTTTGGTCCCATTATTTCATATTATAATTTCTCTCTCTTATTTTCAACTACATAATTTTTTATAAAATAATATTACATGTAAATCAAAAAAATTTCTTCTTTAAACACTATTCAAAAAATTATAATACGATATAATGGGGGCCAAACGAAGTGCAAATCAAACATAGGCTTATTTGTCCATATTATGAACTTATGAAAATTCAAAATAAAACTTGATCCTTAGGAAAAGAACAACACATTCAAATTAATAATAATAAATAAATAAATAATAAAAAATAAACCTCAATTTGCTTCTTTTAGTCTGACTACGCCAATTGGAAAAAATCGATAACAGAATAATTATTAGTCAATGTGAAGATTTTAACCACTAATACATTGGATATGGTGTTAATAAGATTAACAGTGTAACGATCTCGGCCTTGTGTTTACATGTTCTCTTACATATTGTTCATTTTGGGGGATATTTGTCCATCTCACTCCTCACGTATTTTTATCGTATTCCTAAGATTTGAACCCTTAACTTTTTCTTTTAGAATGACTTAAGTTGAACCTGTACCAATTAAGAGAACGACGAACAATGTGGCATGGGTGCATTTTTGTAACAATCTAACCTCTATGCCAATATTGTTAACTCACGTACTATCTGCTCTAGAAGAGCCTAAGTCTTAAGTTTTAGGTTCGAATTCTGAAGACTTGATAGAAATTTGTAAATTGTAAGATGGGTAGATATCCTCTCAAAGCGAACAGTACATAAGAGAATAGTTGGGCATGAGGCATAGATCGTTAAAAAAATATCGTATTTTTTGTAACGATCAACCTCCATACTAGAATTGTTAACTTACATACTGTCCATTCTGAGCCTATGCCCATTTTATACTTCACGAATTTTTACTGCATTTCCAAAATTCAAACACATGATATTTTCTTTAAGTAAGACTTAAGTTGATCCTAATACCAATTGGACAACGGAATCGTTACAAGTTGATTGATCAGTTATGTAATGCTGCGTTACTTTAGTGATTAAGCCCTTGTTTGAGTCCCGTTTTATGGGGAAAAAATGAATTTTTTAACAGTGTTTTAACATTATACTCCCATTTGGCCCTCATTCTCGTTCTTATTCTTTTTCTCTCTTATTTTTAATTACACAATCTTCCATAAAATAATATTACAAACAAATAAAAAATATTGCATTCTTTTTCAACCACACATTTTTCCAAAAAAAAAAAAAAAACTATTCCAACAATTAAAATTTGAAAACAATAGGGGCCAAACAGGTTACACATTTTTCAATAAAATAATATTACATGCAAATTCAAAATTTTTTCTTATTTTTCAACAACACATTTTTCATCAATCAAAAATTCATTCTTCCTCCCAAATGAAAATTTTTTCCAGGTCTGTCTCCGATAATTTTCATGGTTGAATAATTTTATATGTATAAAGAATTATTGGCAAAAATGATACAAGTAATTCGTTGACAATATCTGTATGGTGTATTTCTGTGTTTGTTGTGTCAAAAATTAATAAAAAATTGTCAAGCATTTTTCTATAAGAATTTTGTCAAATTTTTTCTATACTTGTAGCAAAACTCTTCATGATTTTGTTGTCTTTTAAAAATTGAGCCCCCATTCGATTCTCGTTTTTTATCAAATTATATTTTTATCTCTTTTCTTTTTAACTACATATTTTTTATCAAAATAATATTACATGTAAATCAAAAAAATTCCTTATTTTTCATTCACATATTCTCTATCAATCTACTATTCTAAAATTCATTTTTCCGTAAAAGTAGGTGCCAAACACCCTCTAAATTTATTTTTATGAAAATTGATTTTTTTTAAATGTGAGATTAAAAAGTAATTTTTTTATATTTATGTACAAAATTATTTATTAACAAACTGAGTAATTAAAAATAAATTTGAAAAAATATTAATTTTAGAGGATGGACCTCAAACACGGGTGTGTGGTTAGATTGGAGGAAAACGAGACAAATTTGTGGCCCATTGTCAGAGATTTTTTTCAAGAGAAATGCCCAATATACAGGGTTTTGCTCATATATCACTTACAGAGTCCCTCACTATGCAGGGGCCCTACCTGTATTAAAAAAAAAATTATGCGGGCCCCATGCACGTTTGTTGTCTGGCAGCACCCTAGTTCTGTTGGTTCTCTAAGGATAGCACTGCTCTTTTTCCAATAATCCCCAAAAAGATTATTTGCCATTTTCCAATGTAAAATTGTTTAAATAATAATAACAAATAATTAACTATTATTTTCAATAAGTTATACACGAATTCTTTCATTGGTACATCATTAATGTGGCAGTTGTTGACTTACCAAAGTCTTATTTCTTTGTTTAAGATTGAGACTGACTATGAACAATATTGAAAATGAAATTTTAGTTATGCTAGTACAACATCTCTTCTCTCATATTTTCCTTGACGATTTAGGTTTTCGATCTTATTTTTTAATTTGATAAACTTTAAGAAGTTAACGAACTCACATGCATTATGTAGACGCATGCAACCAAATGATTTCAAGCACTTCACAATGTCGATTAGCGTCAGCTCTAATTTCTTAGCCATAACCTATTTCTAGTTTATGGAAAAGTCTTAATGATATTCAACCTCTTAAAAATGAATGAAGGTGTTATAAAGTTTTTGTTTCTAACAGATTATTTGAAGTGATTTTTTTTTCCAAGGAGAATGTATAGTAAAAAAGTATGAAGAAAATTGTGGGTTCAAATACAAAATTAATTTATTAAAAGAATGTAAAAATATTTTTTTAATAAATTGTGCCAAACAAATAGTAATTATTCAAAAACCAAAACATCAAATGGTTATGATTCATTAAGTGATTGGGAGACATAAGGACATCTAATAGCCCCCCGGGGCATATTCCAATAGTACAAATGATAAGAGTGGGGTATACTCAATTTTGCTGACAGTCGCAGTGTGAGGGTTCGATTCTTGAAACATGGATTAGAACTCTTTGTGGGCACCAGTGTACATACAACTTTTGTTCCCTGGCAACACATTCCGTTATTAACCTCTCTCACGATACTTTATAAACGAGGTGGTGAGAGACCCTTAAGATTGGCGTTCAACCTTTTTTGACATAAGGACACCTAATAATGTCAATTTTCAATTTATAATTTGGTCCCGTGGATTTTCTCTGTGTCGGGATTTTTTGTCCACGTGGGTTTTCTTTAACGAATGAAAGGGATTGATCAGCTGACAAACTTTTGAATTTCTCTGGTCTAAAAGAACTAACCAATCACGTGAGAACGTTTGGAAGAACAGAGGATATTTTTGTCTCCCTGCTAATATTCCTTTCTATGAGCAATATTTTGAGGATATCCCTAATCCCCAACTCTGGGAAAATTAAGGGGCGTTTGGTTTGTATTTCACTTTTCAATTTTAAGTTTTATTTCAATTTTATTTTTTTTGTTTTTTGTTTTTTGTTTTGAGGGTCTATTTTTAAATTACTAAAAATGCATTTGGTCTATCATTTTCAAAAAATCATTTCTCAAGACAGAAAATTAGGAAACATGTCTGATTTGGAATTTTAAAAAATTATTTTATAAAATTTTAATTCATTAAATTTTATTATTCTATAAAAATTAAACAATCTTATATCAATATATTATCAAGTAGGATTGGCAACGTGACAGGTTTGGGACGGGGCAGGCTCTTCGCTAGGGGTGGGCGTGGATCGGTTCGGTTCGGTTCTCTTTAGAATCGAATCGAATCGAACCAAAATTTTCGGGTATCTAGTAAATGGAATCGTCGGGTCCAAATATAATTATGGAACTGTTTGGGTTCGGTTCTGTTCGATTTTGTATTATAATTAAATTTTTTAACATTTATAACAACATTATATAAATACAACTAATGATACATTCAATGGCTTTGGAATGTCATAGGCTAGTAGACTACCTTGTTCAAATGATTGCTACGGTCAAAGTTTCGGTCGGCGGAGGTCGTAGCTTCGATCGGAGGTCACAACATCAGCCGACGATTGTATAGGTTTTGAAATGTCAGCGAGGCTGCGAGAGTGAGTGCGAGAGTCAAGACAACGTTATGCACTTTAGTGTAGGTGTTTAGAGTTATTTAGTTGATTGAATCTTGTTGGGCTAAGAAATGAAACAATAAAATGGGTAATAAGGTAAAAATTAAAAAATTAGAAATGAAACAAATTATTTGGCCAAAAATTTGGATTTAGAAATTGTTAATTTGTTAAGAAAAAATTAAAATTAAAATAATTTGATTTACTCAATATAAAAAAAAATAGAAATATTCGATTCTTATTCGGTCCTGTCGGTTCTCAATTCAGATACCCGTTCGAGTATTTAATTTGACAATAACCATCGGGTTCGGTTCAGTTCGGGTTCGGTTCGGGAGATTTGCCCAGTCCTACTCTTCACCCTCGCCTCGTTACCCGTTTACGCATTTGTTTAAATCTTTTATATAATTTTTTATAATTCATTTTATTACTCTCATTCATTTAAGTAAGACAATAATATAGTTATTAAAATTTTTAATTAATTTATTTTTAAAAGTTAAATCATTCGAATATATTTGATAAACTAAAGTTTTTATTGTTTATCATATTTTTTAGATAATCTTTGTTGTTATCTTCTATTCAATTAATGAAATTTCGTAAAGACTTTTCATTTAAAGTATTGAATTTCTAATTAAAAAAAATTAAACGGGGCTGGGGCGAGGCCCACGTTACTCGTATCTGCCTCCGGGCAAAATATCTCGCCACCGTACCAAACCCGATTAAGCTGGTAATATCTGTCGTTCAACTCGGAGCCCTACGAGTATCGAGTTTGACACGTATTTTTGCCATCCCATTATCAAGTGTCATATACATTTTAAAATTAGCAATTTTACAACAATTTTCTAGCTAAAAAAGTAAAAACAAAACAAATAATTTTTTATGTGTGTGTGTGTGTGTGTGTGTGTGTGTGTGTGTATATATATATATATATATATATATATATATATATATAAGTTATTTAATTTTTTAAAAACTATTTATATAAAAATTTATTAAAATGATTATTTTTCATATTTTGAGTGTTTTCAAAATTTTAACTGAAAATGCTCAAAACTTTAAAAATGCGTTTTCAATTTTATGTTATATGTTCATCGTTGTTTTTGAAAATGTATTTTTAGAAATATCATACCAAACACTTTTTCAATATTTTGCAAAATTGAAAACAGTAAATCAAACGCATCCTTAATGGTCGAATTGGTAAATTTTGAAATGAATCTGTAGTTTATGAGATGGTTATTTAATTATTTTTAAATGATTTTGTATTTTTCAATTTTAGATTTAAATAAATCATTTTTTAGTTTTTCTAGTTGAACTAAATAGTCCAATACACCTTTCAACACAACGCTTGATGGTAGGGATGACAATTTGAATTGTCAAAATCAAAAATCGCGATTAATCGAATTGAATAGGGCGAAAAAAATCGAACTGATGGTGCAATGGGGCGGATATGATTTTTATTTTAATGAACCGATTCGTGGTGGTGCGGGTATGATATTTATGCCGTCGAACCGAAACCAAACCGATTACTTGCT